GGAGGCTGAGGCGGGTGGATCACCTGCGGTCAGGAGTTCGAGACCAGCCTGGCCAACATGGTGAAACCCCGTCTCTACTAAAAAAATACAAAAAAGTTAGCCAGGCGTGGTGGTGGGCGCCTGTAATCCTAGCTACTCGGGAGGCTGAGGCAGGAGAATCACTTGAACCCAGGAGGTGGAGGTTGCAGTGACCCAAGACCACGCCATTGCACTCCAGCCTGGGCAACAAGAGCGAAATTCTGTCTTAAAAAACAAAACAAAAAATCACGTGTTGAATTGTTTGTTAGACAACTTAGACAAAAACAAGTAGATGGAGGGCGCGTTGGCTCAGCCAGGAAGATCTGGCGGGTTGGGCTCCCAGTCGCAGATGGGCATGGCCAGCGCCCCCCAGCCCTCCCCAGATGACCACGGCCGCTCCATCCACCCGTCAGGTTTCCCTTTTCTCGTCTCCCTCCTCCCTCTCTCCTTTACCTCCTCCTCCCAGACCCTCTGCGGGGACCCACTGTGCGGCCTGAGTCCTCCCTCGGCCCCTTGGAGCACTTAGGGTTCCCCGCGGTAGTGTGCCTCAGCCACGTGCTGCCCCTGTGGTGGGAACAGCTTGTCTCTACAGTCAGTCGGCCTGGCCCCTGAGCCTGGACTTCAGGGGGCTTTTTAGGGAGCACTCTGTGGTGGGCTTCCCTCCGCGCCCCCTGGCCTGCTTCCCTCCCAGTGACTCAGCCTCTCCTCCTGTCTCCTTTGTTCGCCAGTATGTCCCGGAGGACCTCCTTCCCGTCTACAAAGAAAAAGTGGTGCCGGTTGCAGACATTATCACGCCCAACCAGTTTGAGGCCGAGTAAGTCATTTTATTTTATTTTATTTTATTTTATTTTATTTTATTTTACTTCATTTTTCAAGACGGATCTCACTCTTGTCGCCCAAGCGGGAGTGCAGTGGCACAATCTCAGCTCACTGCAACCTCTGTCTCCAGGGTTCAGGCGATTCTCCTGCCTCAGCCTCCCAAGTAGCTGGATACAGGCGTGAGCCACCATGCCCGGCTAATTTTTGTATTTTTAGTAGAGATGGGGTTTCACCATGTTGGCCAGGCTGGTCTTGAACTCCTAACTTCAGGTGATCTACCCACCTCAGCCTTCCAAAGTGCTGAGATCGCAGGCGTGAACCAGGGTGCCCAGCAGAGTAAGTCATTTTAAATGGCAAATGCTACCAGTCTTTCCCCAGGGAGAGCTGCAGAGAACGTGCCAGAAGGGTCTCCATTCTGCCCTCGGGCTGCCTGTTCTGCTTCCGAAGGGGTCCTCAGGAAGGTCCTGCCGCGGGGCGAGTGCCCCTTGATACTAGAGCAGGATGTGGTGGGGGCGCCTGGGTTGGAGAAGTCCCTGCCCACTGGGTCCCAGGCTCACACCTTCCCTTTGGTGGCGGCAGCCGTGGGCGATGGGGAAAGTTCTCCTGCCCCTGTGCCTTCCTGAGCAGCAGGGCCTCTGGGAGAGGAAGGGGAGGGGTGACTTGGGGAGCTGTGGGCTTGCCTGGGCCACCATGGCGGAGGGAGGGTGGGGGCAGCACAGGCGGCCAGGTCACCTGCCACCCTGTGAGGGGAAGAGGAGTGTGTTGGGTCTGCCTGTCTGATACCGAGTTTGAAAAGGTCTTTCTCTGGGTGCATGGCCCCCCAGCTGAAGAATCAGACGCCAAGGGGAAGCCGCCAGCGCCCCAGTGCCATTAAGAGTGGAGCTGCCTATTGAGGAGGCTGGTGCCTGTCATAGCTTAGCTCTACCTGGCCCTGAGCCACGTTCCGAGTCCCCCATTCACGCAGGGGTGGGGGGTGCCTGAACTCTTGGAGGCCTGGGATCCCTGACCTGGGCCTGTCCAGATTTGGTGGTGGCATCTCGCTCGAGGCCGCTGAGCCATGGGCAGCCCCTGCGTGCATTAATCGTTAGCAGCTCTGTGACTTTGTATGGACGTCAGTCACGCATGCTGAGACCCTGCGCTATGGCATGGTCTTAAGTGGGGGCCGTGGCTGCTGTGCATCACCTTGGTTACGAATAAACAGCAGCCATGATTGGGCCTTGCCTGACTCCTGTCATATGAGTGTCCCCTTTAGAAGCAAACCGCACATGTTGCAGAGGCCCCGGCCCATGGTGGCCAGTGGACGAAGAGCCTGTAGGGATGAGGCTTTCCAGAGCCGCTGTAGTTTGGGGAATGTCAACACACAACCTGGAGAAGAGAGGCTCACCTGTCCTTGCGTTCCTGCCCCTGCCTGTCTTCCAGGTTACTGAGTGGCCGTAAGATCCACAGCCAGGAGGAAGCCTTGGCGGTAAGGAGGCCCTCTGGGGCCTGTGCGGGGCAGATGTGCCACTCACGGTGGGAATGGGAGATGGGCTGCCTGAGTGGCACCATTG